ATAATTTCAGCCAAACTGAGAAAGGGGATCCCATCTGTGTTTGGTGTCTGCAGGCTAAGCAGACAAGAGAGAAAAATGTGAGTCAAGCCTGGTTCATGGATATTTAGTCCGCAAGGAAGATGAGACAGCGAGCAATACATTGTCCAGTGGAACACAAAACGAAATACTCCGTCAGTTTCGAATGGCAAATACAATACAGTATCATCATCCCACGAAACGATGTGATTCACGTCAGTCGACATACGCATCTCATTATGAAGGAAGGGGGAGGTATGATAGGTGCACGAATCAACAGGAGCGCGTGTGCGCTTGCACATACACGCACAAGATGACAAACTGGCATCAGTCCCCTCTCGATCCGGTCCCGTGAATGACGTGCCATGCTGGTGAAAACGGAATACACAGACTGTAGAGTGGTGAAAAAATACGCCCAGCCTACAGTTTAACAAAAGTCGACAAGAATTTCCACGGTTAAAAACTTAACAATGTGCCCGATCCAACAGATTACAGCGTAAAATTGCCAGGAAGAGACAAGCCAGATTTCAACCCACGCACAAGAAACAGATCGTTGATGCGATTTCGCGAACATTTCCAATGGGTTGCCTGAGAACTTAGTGCATGGCGTGCTTCACGCCCGACACTGAGAAGTAAACTCGTAACTGTGATACTTCAAGCTAAACACGAAGATGGTACCTAATGTGAATAGATGAAAACGTGCGTGTCGAACAGGCGCGTCTACGTGTTCTGATGTTATCGATCTGTCCGTTTATTTAGCGTGTAAAATTGTTCTCTATAATATGACAGTGTTTACTGATGTATAAGAGTTGATATATATATATATATCATTGAAAAGGAGTATACTGTTCCGTCAAAATGTAATATTGAGAACTTACCGTGGTAAACCGGAAACGATCCAATGGAATGTGATCAACTTCACAAATTCGTTCAACTGCGGTGCACCAGTAATCACGACGGTTGACGCCGAGTGGAATAACGAATTCCACAAAAGTAGATGCAAAGCTGAGAGAGCTTGGATACCACCGACGAAGAAAGAGAAAAATACCGGAATGTGTGCTGCAGGACGAAGACGAAGCTGTATCCAGTAAGGACACAGAGCCGGTGAGGATTGAGTTCGAGATAGGAACGGGAATGGAGAATGGGGATAGTCGGTCGTCGAGTAGCTGAAGTAAGACGCCCTGGTGCGGATTTCGGAATGAGGCAAGCTGACTGTTTGGATCCAGTAGGGGTCCTGGACTACACTCTGGCAGCGTGCATTTGCGCAGACATAATCTAAAGGATGTGGAAAGAGACCGTAGAAGGCTAAACCATACTGTTAAGAACGGATTAGTGATGCAGGCCGCTGAACTGGATGGCATATCCACACGATGAGAATCCGAGTCAAATGCCAAGTGGATTGTAACCCTTATACACACGTACATACACACAGGTAGGTAACCAATCGAACCACGTTGTAAGTATCGAATTCGCTGGACACAAATGTAGGTGGATGAAGAGATCAACCTTCACTCAGTAGTCAACCAGGATAATATTTGCTACGAACTTCATTGTATCCGGTTCACCCATATAAACGCGCGCCCCTTGAACGGCGCTAAAGCGAAAGAAATTTCGCACATCTTGTGTCTTTAGGAGTCCTGGCTCAATGAAGATGTGAACGATTCTGTGGTGTAACTGGATAATTTCGTCTGCTTCAGGTAGGATAGACAACGGTGTAGGAAGAAGTTGGGAGGCGGTGTGGTTACTTATATCAATTCCAATTGGTGCAGCAAGTCCGAAGTAGTCTTTAAGTATTCACAGAATGGCGTTGATTGCTTGACTGTCGTCTATCACCCCAAATTCTCCCGCTTTCCTTATATCGCCATCACTAATTTATACATTGCACCCCAGTGTAGATTGTCAGACATTGACACATTTTATGATAATTTCCTACCGGTTATTGCCCCATCTCTTGCTGACAGCTTGCACTTAATAACTGGTGACTTTGACCACGCCCCTTGCACCCTTTATTGTGTCTAAACCTTAGTGACCTGATTATTGAACCGACTAGAGGAAACTCTCAGATAAACGACATAATCACAAACCACGCTGACACATTTTCCACCAAACTGCTCTCCCCCTTAGGCACTGGTGACCAAAACCTGATCCTGGTCAGACCGAAGATTTACTCACCCTCAGGACATTTTTCTTTTACTCGACCCAAACACATCATGTTCTGTCAGCGAGATCTTTCCCCAGACAATATTGCCTTGCTTAGATTGTCTCT